TATAAAGCACAGCAGGTACTATTAGAATCATTTTTGCTTCAACTATGAAACATAATTTAGAAAAAACTCGAGGAAAAAGGAAACCTATTGCACTTAAGTATATTTTTGCTTACTGTGTTCTCTTTTTGCTCTAATATCTCAAAGCTCCTTTTTATTGTTTTCCTTTTGTTTGGAGGTTATAATTCTTGAGGGTACATCTGTTGGTGACAACATCTCTTAATCTTCTCTCCTCTAAGAATGTCTCTGTTGCCCTTTCATTCCTAAAGGATATTTTAGTTGGATGTAAGATTCTGGCTTGAGAATTCTTTCCTTTCAGCACTTGAGAAAACATTCCACCTTTTTCTGCTTTCTGTAGTTCCTGACAAGAAATCCACTGTCTTGTTACTGGTGAGAGAGACTTTGCCTCATTACTGACAAGTGGAAGTAAATGTCTAGGGTCCCATGTGATCTCTCTTGACATCAGTGTGGGGGAAAGGGAGGAGAACTCATTATCATCCTATGGGAATGAAGTTTTGCTTGCCTTCTGAAAGCTTACAGGGGACCAGAACTCTTCATAGAGTCATAGATATGGGTATAAGTATGGTGGGCAACAGGTTGTCTTGTTAAGGTACCTTTTCCTAGTGTTTGCTAGAAAGGGCATGATTTCTTTTTTCCCCCTTTGGGATTTTTTTTTTTGAGGGGAGTTGTTTGTTTCTCTTTGTTGGTGACATTCTCTTTATCTGGTGACATTTCTAGATGGCAGCTTCTTCAGCTCAAAGTATGTAAAAAGGAAGGCAAAAAAGGAAACCCAAGGAAGTTGGCTCTGTGTCTTTTCCTGTTGGAGTCCTTAGCTTGTCTGTCTGCTTTCCACCATTTGTGTCTTATTTTTGTTTTGTTTATAATCTCCAGCATTTTTGTTGTACTTAATGGAAAGAGCAGGGCAAAGCATCTATTCATGTCTACTTTATTATCTCAAAAACAAAAGTGTCTGTCCTTGTTGCTTTTACAGTAAGTTACAGACTCCTATCGTCTTTAAGTACATAAGCATGCATTTTCTAAGAACATAGACATTCTTCCTCATAGCTATGATACCATGCCAGACCCAAGAATATTACACTTTCTTTTCTGATCCAAGATTGTGCATGTTTTTAGTTGTTTTATATCTTTTAATCTATAATCCAATCTTCTAGCCTTTTGTTACCTATTTTGTTTTTATCTTGTATAACATGGACTTTTCTTTTTTTGCTTTTTGAGAAAGGTCTTGCTGTGTCCTTCAGGCTGGCCTTAAACTCATGGCAATCTTCCTGTCTCTGCCTTCTGAGTACTGGGATTACAAGTATACTCCATGCGTGGCTTTAATAACATGGACAGTTATTAAGACTCTAAGCAAGTATCTCATAGAATGGTGCACTCTCTGGGTTGGTCTGGTTTTCTCATCATTATATTCAAGTTAAACATTTTGGAAATAGTACCATATATAGGTACTATGTTATATATCTCTCATTACATCAGGAAATATTAAGTTTAATCATTTAAAGTTGTACCTACCAGATCTCTGCATTGCAAAAATATTTTTTTCTTCTGTGTAATTAATAAGTAATATATTACTTTCTAAAGTCCTTGGGCTGGGGAGATAGCTTGGAGGTTTAAGTGCCTACCTGGCAAGTACAAGGACCTGGATGCGATAAAAGATTTAAAAAAAAAAATTTTGAGTTCTTAAAACCGTTACTTTGTAAGGGTCTTAAATACCATCAATTAATTACTAGTTTTTAATTCCAGAAAAGTTGTTTTTATAGTATTCTAACTGATACATGTAGACTACTAGACAAATGCAGTGATAGTTTTTGCAGCAAAAAATCATCAATGGATATGGAAATAGTAGAACATGATGGAATATTTACATAATCTCAAAGTATTTCCCCAAGAGATACTCACTAATTATCCAGGGAATAAGAGTGACTTCAGACTGGGGAAGCCTGGCAGACACCTTATCAAGTGATCAATATTGACACTGACTATCACCTATTGACTAAATATCACCTCTGTGGTATTCTTGCCACAATTATATGTCCTTAGTTTAATGTTAAGACACTAAATACACCGAAATTGAGGAACATTTTACCACATAACTCATTAATATTCTTCAAAACTGTCACAGTCATGAAAGACAAAAACTGAGGAGCTATTGAATATTGGAGGAGGCATTATGACTAAATGCAATCCAGAGTCTTGGACCGTAGGGGGACAACAGGCAACATTTGAATGTAGCCTAACAATTAGTAGTATTGAGTCAGTGCTAATTTCCTGGCTTGATGTTTATTCTGTGGTTATATAAAAAGGGAAACAGAATGAAGGTGGTACTGGAACTCTTTACTATTTCTGGACTTTTCCCTAATTTTAAAATTATTTCAAGGACTGGCCAGATAGCTTAAGTGGACTAAAGCACCTGCTTAGGCAGAGTGCAGTGGCTGTGGTTCAATCCCAGGCATGCCATTCTGGCCCCCCGCCCCCAGGCACACTGAGACTGCAATTGAGACTGGATGTGGTGGCACGTGCCTGTAATCCCAGTGCTTGGGAGCCTAAAAACAGGAAAATCACTATGAGACTGATCTACATAGTGAGACCCTGTAGACCCTGTACTAAATACAAAAGATAGATAAATAAATAAGATAAAATTATTTCAAAGAAAAATTACCTTTTTAAAACATTCTATTCCACAGTGTGTATCATTTAGATAAAGTATTTGCTTTCTATTCCTTTTGCTTGGTTAGCAAAATATTCTTTTTAAGTAAGCAGAGTTCTAACTTACATAAGAATTAAGCATGTTTCATAGAACAAAAACCCTTATGTCTTTTCCATTCTGAAGACCGGATGTATTCATAAGACCTGCGCTTGTTTCTTAAGACTCTGATAATATATGATTCCTGCATTTGCTGGGTTGTGTATTTTGGACCTCTTTTAAATTTTATTGAGGACTTACTGTATACCAGGCACTGTTCTGTACACTGAAGATAAATGATTGTACAAAACATCCAGTAAACCTAAGCCTAACCCCAACTGCAATCCCTCACAAAATTTACTGAAGAGGCACAAGATTTTAGTGGGAGCCTATAGATGATGTATTGTTCACCTCTCTGTTGCTGAGATAAAATGCTTATCACTCAACAACTTAAAGGAGCAGAAGTTTATTTGGTTCACAATTTCCAGTGGGTTTAGTTCCTTGGTCAGCTGCCTTCAAGGCAGAAACAACATGCTGAAAACGATGTTACAGAGAAAAACTGTGCTCCTTGTGACACCCAAAAGAAGAGAGAGGGCCTGAAGGAGGAGGAGGAGGGGGGAGGGAGAGAAAGGGTGGAGGGAGGGATAGAATATACATTTCCAAGTCATAACCCCAGTACCCCATTTAGCCAGGCCCCACCTCTGACTACATGACTTTTGGGAGCATTTTAGATTTAAATAATAACAGATGGCAAAGTAAGCATGTTTTTCAAGCATGTTTATAATATATTATGAAAAAAAAATAAAGCAGGAAAGGAATACTAGAGTGGATGGGGGTACTTTTGGTACTGTTTCACCTAAATTACTGCTCATTGTCATCCTCTGACCCCTTTTCTACCTTTTTTAAAACATAAGTCTTATTAAAATGTTTATAATCTTCCCCCAGTAAGATGTAAGCTCTGTGTGAGGAAGAGCTTCATTTATTTCATTTCTAACTGAAGAACAGTGTTTGATTTGGAGCAGGACCTCAATAAATATGTAGTTGAAGAATCCCCTGCTCAAATATTCACTCAGATCCTATACCTTGCATGATTCTTCCACTCACTGGAGTCCCAGTTAATACATTCAGGCTATATTGGAGTCCATTTTACTGAATAACTTCTGCAAGCTTTTGGTATTTAGAGGATGAGACTAGAACAACCCTCAATGTCCCTGGCAGCACATCTTGGTTACCTGTTTCCTTGGAGAATTTGCCCAGCCTGTTTGCAAGGAAATTGTCCAATTGTACTTCCATTTAAAATGTGCTATGAAATGCTTCTCCTTTGAAAAATGAAAGACATAAAAGGAAAAATCTATTTCCCTTTCAAGCTGTAGAACTTTCATAGTTGAATATCTCAGATGTTACATTATCTTATCCTTCAATGAAAAATACCCTTATTCTGGTCTCATATTTTATTCTGAAATCTGCTACAATTTTATATTAGGAACATCTGTTTCTTGTAGCCCTAATCATCTTTCATTTTTGTATTTTGAACAGTGTTATTTACTTGTCTACTATACCGGCTGGCGGAATGTCAAATCTTTTTTGACTTTTGGCTTAATCTGCTTATGCAACATGTATCTATATGAACTGCGCAACCTCTGGCAGCTTTTCTTTCATGTGACTGTGGGAGCATTTGTCACACTGCAGATCTGGCTGAGGCAAGCCCAAGGCAAAGCTCCCGATTATGATGTCTGACACCCTCCTTCAGATGTGTTGCCTTGGCTTCGGGGGAAGAAGAGGGGACATACCTTAACTGCCACTGTGATGAAGAAACCAGTCACCACAAATGAGAAGCTCTGCATTCTTTTTCTCCAATCTTCCTGTTTTTAAATCAACATGTCATGCCTGTGAGCATGCAAGATCTCATAGGGAAACACTTCTCTGAAGAATTTTGGCAGTGAGCTTATAGAGAGGAAGACGAGGAGCCTTGTCTCTTCACAGCTGTAAGAGTGGAAGAAGTCAGACTTCACCTGAAGACCTGGCTGGCTGTCCTGAGTCCTCGCATGAACTCAGTCATAACAAAGACATGGAATTGCTGAGGACCAAGCAGGCACTGCACTCCAAGTTTGCCTTTGTGAGGCATCACCATAGACCAAATAAAAAAGATGCTGCAGCAATCGGAAAGTCCATGTCTTACAACAGATGACTGTGCTAAATATCAGATTATTTGTATATTTATAGTAGTAAGATTTTATGAGTTCAGGGTGGTATAGAACTGATTCTTTTGCTTTTCTGTTTTTGCCTAAGTCCTAACTCTGGAAATTACCTGGTATAGGAGAAAGCTATGGTGAGTTTATCTCTGGAACATCACAAGTATTAAAAGCACAGTAATGGGGCCGGGGAGATAGCTCAGTAGAGTAAGTCCTTGCCTGGCAAGCATAAGGTCCTGAGTTCAATCCCCGGTTCTGCAAAAAAAAAAAAAAAAAAAAAATGCACAGTAATGTTTATTTTCTTTCTAAACCATGTTTTTTTGTTTCTTTTGAAATCACTGTTTTCAAATATGACTCATTAGACTATAATCATTGTTTCCCAAATGTTGATTGAGTACTAATACTCTATTTAATGTATTTTTAGTATTTATCTTTTTAAATTTCAGAGTATTTTTAAAAGAAACAAATCATGCCCTAAGAAGAAAACCAGTGGCAGTTTACCATAAATAAAAAGTGACCACAAAATAATAAAATTTATACAAAAATTATTACAAAGTTTTAGCTAGATACTAATGCCTGTCATGGCTCTAAACTAAGAAGCCTGTACTTTGTGGCAGTTAAAGAGCTTGCCTGCTCCAAAATAAGACATTGTGGAATAATTAGAGGATGATAGATCATTCTAAAGAGAATGACATTTTCACTTTTATTCAGCACTACTTAATTCTGTGTCATGAGCCACCTAAAACCATCTTGTATGTCAGCCATGGTATGGACTTGACTGTGGAAATACTGGACCATATATACTAGAAATCAGAAGGTAACTTCCTAGCAATTCTGGTTATCTTTCAGGTTTAGGGAAGTAAGCACCTATTTGAGAAAACTTAATTTCTGAAAACATTAGAAAGATATGCAGGCATTACAAATTAATGATATAGGATCCAGAGTTTGATCCTATTAGCAAAATCTGCAACTCTCCTGCTTTTGGAAGTTATCTTCAGTGATTTTCCATTGTTTTGAAAAGAAAAATTCTGAAAATAGAACTCATAGGGTATTGAAAAACAGCAGGAACTATTATATATAATTCATGTTGGGCAAATTTGTTAGAAGAAATAGCTGGAGGGCACAGCCATCCAGCTGCCTTGTTGGCCGGAATTAATATATGTAGATACAACTAGGCTATGTTTAAGATCTTAATTAGAACCTTGGCTGCTCCCTCCTTTTAGAAGAATGAAGTATAAAGAAGACACAGAGCTTATATCAAGGATTCATTTTATTTAAAACATTTCCAGTTCACTCTAGTTTGCTGCCTCTATTCAAACAAGGCTGTACAGAAAGCATGTATATTCTGAAAGAGGTATCCAAAGTATCATATAATCTTATATCAGTTTGGAATTTTGTAACTACTGAGCCAGAAAAGTAAAGGAATTTTAAGCTACTGGCTAAAACAAAGTTTTCTTGTAAATTATCAATTTACTAGGAAGTTAACAGTGTTACCAGTTTAGTTCAGGAGCTACCTCCTAATGACAGAATGAATTATTGAACTACAGTGTTTGGTATTTGGATTCCTTCAGCAACAAGGACACTTGAAAACTCACCAGCTATTTTTTTAAAAGCTTGTTTCTCATTTTTGTTTTACTTTACCAGCTATTTTGGATAAAAGGATGTTTACATCTTAATGTAAAAAAATGAAACAGATATAAATAATGTTTTATGTATACAAATGCTTTCTTCCATTACTTGGTGCTTATATCCCTGAGTGATTATATAGATTCCTATCTATATCATAATGCCAAGAAATTATGAGTTTGGAAAGAGATTTTTGGCATAGGTTTAAAGAAGTTTAGACTCTTGAGAAAGAATTGCTTTGGCATCTAAGGTATATTAGCTCTCCCTTTATTGGGACACAATACCTGATATGCAGAACTTAATGGAGGAGAAATTTAATTTGGCTCATGGCTTATGAGAGTTCAGTCCATGATTAACTGATTCTAAAGCAGAAACATCATGGCAGAAGAACATGGTGGAGCACAGCCTTCATGGCAGCTAGCCCACAGAGCTGGGAACAGTGGCAGAGAGGAAGGGGTCAAGGACCACATACAGTATCCTGAGATCATATCACCATAACCAAACAGACTCACCCAGAAGTGTTTTACCAATCCCCTGGGCATCTCTAAAGCCAGTTGAATTGATAATCTTGTTTAACTCACCATGATGCCAGTATCTTAGATTTGTATTAAATTCTATCTTCTTAACAGCAAACCATGTTTATCACATTAGAATGAATTTTGCACTGTGAGGCAAGCAAATAGTATCTTCCCTTATATTAAGTGGAAGGAAACCAAGGTGATCAGATCTTACTGACTTATGCCTCCTAGCTAAGCATACACAACTCTATAATCTAGTGCAGAGTCTTTTTTACTGATGTGAGATGAATGAAAGTGATCAAGATTCTATTTAGAGAATATGCTGATTCTTGATCAAATCAAGTAATTAGGGTTTCTGAAATCAGTGAGTCCAGGCCTGCTGGACACAGATGTGTTTTATGTTAGGTATATAAATATTTTATCTTCATAGGTATATTATACCTATTAAGGTATAGGTATATTTTGGTCTAAGCACTGGATGCTTAAGTAAGGTAGATATGTATTTTAATAAAATTGGTGTATTTTATCTTAATTTAGGCAACCATGAAATACTGCTTTTTTTTTTTTTTTTTTTTTTTTTTTTTTGGTACTGGTGATCAAACTCAGGACCTTGGGCTTGCCAGAAAGGAGCTTGTGCTGCTGAGCTACGTTCCCAAGCTCAAAATACTGCTTTTTGATTGTGCTATGAGAGCAAAGATGCCCTCTTTTATGTCAGCTTTTTTGGTCTGTATCTGAAGTGTATCTAAACTTTTCCCAAAGCAATTGGAACATAGCATACTAAGGGAGGACATCAAAACTATATTAATAAAGTATCAGAAAAGGAGAAACAAAATTAGTGCAAATGAAGGGCTAAAGCATTATCACTAATGTAACTCTGGAACTTTGTAGAGGTTAGCTAGGTATGCATTGCTCTGTTAGTGACAAGGTGGGGTGCTCTACCCTGATACATTGTGATAAAAAGATTCTCACTTGAAGGTCCTACAAAGTGCTAAATAAACAGAATTTTTGATTACTTGACACACATTTTCATATCATGAGTGGGCCTTGAATCCTCAACTTGTACCACTTTTTAAATGCTTCCACTTCAGGGTGTGTGTTTAATAGAAAATTTTGTTCCAATAAGAATTTCTGCCTTAAGCTGGGTGTGGTGGTGCACACCTGTACTCCCAGTACTCGGGAGGCTGAGGCAGGAGGATTGTTGCAGTTTGGAGACCAGTGTGGGCTACAAAGTGAGCTCAAGGCCAGCCTGAACTGCATAGCAGTTTTGTTTTGTTTTTGTCTTAAAAAGACCAAAAACAAAACAAAACACCTTCTTTCCTAAGGTTTTTGAGGGGATTTGCCACCATTTGAGGCAGAGACTCAAGGAGAAACTTTACAAAATTTTGTGATTTTATAATTCATATAAAGTGAATGAGCTTTTCCTACATTAACACATATGCCTTTGCTGTGAAGGTGGACCTTCTCCCAGCAGAATCCAGCCTGGGAAAGTGCACGGCTGTGTTTCTAGCCCAGCCCTGTCTAGTGTCCTGATAGACTGCTGCTTGATCAAGGAACACCAAGACTAGAGCTTTGCCACCAACACTTCATGGCTGTGGCTCAGAGTAGGTAAATCTGTTTCTGAGGAGAGCGGTAGTTGACTGGCCTTTTCAAGATTTCAATTCCAAAAGGGCTAGGAACCTAAGGATGCTTTTTGAGCTGTTAAGTGGGGCACAACAAAGTGTGTGTGTGCGCGCACTTGTGTGTGCCATTCTAGTTGCTTCTGTTTTAACAGTCCTTTGGTTTACTTTAAGAAATAGAGGTACTGTGGAATGTGTGGTAAAAGGACAAGTCAGTTATTTCAAAACCATCCGCCTCTTAGACCACATGGGCACTTAGCTTTACCACAGATTGCAGGTCACTCTTTAGAGCTGCATTCTTCATCTGTAGTGAGGGCTTCTTAGTTTATTTCTACATTATTACCTCAATGGAAATGGAGACTTTCTACCTAAAAATGCCTGATCTTCTGTTTAAGTTGGCTTTAATACACTGGCTAAAATTGTAATCCCTGCAATTCAAAAGGTTATGACAGTATTTGTGGGTAAGGGACAAGCCAGCAGAGTCATATGTGTGTCTGTGTCGTTGTTGTCCCCAGCCTAGAGGCCCCGAATCAGCTCAGCTGCATGGGTGTGTGGGCTGCTGAGAGGTCTTGGCAGATTGCAGTCTTCAAATTAACCCTTCACTGTCTCAGAGAGAAGCAGTAGCTGCAGCCACCCCTCTTACAGGATCTCCTTGGTGGCCAAGCTTCTAGGTCACTCTATTTAGCAGCTGAAATCACACTGAACATGGAAGCACTGCACAATCGGAAACTCTATGATGTGCATCTTCCTGCCTGTGAGAGGTGTGGACACGTGGGCACACTGCCCTGTGCATGGGCCGGCTGCTGTGTAATCGATCACGTCAGCACAGTTGGCCAGAGTTCCTGAAATCAGTACCCTCACGTCAAGAATCCTCCCGTGTTTCCTTGGCAACTAACAGTATTTCCAGCCCAACCTCACCCACAATTCACATTGCCCTTTTCTCCTTCCCACAGCACAGCAATGCAAGCGTCACCCAGCAGGCTCACAGAACACATGGGGCTCCTTTGGACAGTAAAAGACAGGACACACACAGTCCACTTCCCCTGTGATTCTGGGCCAGCTCTGCTTTGGTCATTGGCCTGCTTTGTACCAGTGTTGCGCTTTGAGTGTGGGTGGAAGGGGCCTAGCCGAAAGGCAGACAGACAGTATTTTGCCGTGCACTTGGTGCTCCTCTAGTGCCTAGGAGTACTAGAAGGAATGTCCCTGAGTGCTCTGCTGGGGGGTGAGCCTACATCATCTTTCTGGCCGTGCAGAGTGAGGAGCACTATTGCATTTCCACTTAAGGAAACAAAGACACAGCTCTTGGTGAGTGTGGAGTCTGAACCCGAGATCCAGGCTTGTTTTAAATCAAATTTGGTAACCTATCAGTGCCGCAGTGAACCTCAGAGAATTGTGTGTGCATGCAGCTGACAACAGC